TTCAGGCTTAAGGCAGCGCTTGGCAGATTAGATTTTGAGGTCTAATGGAGGATTACATGTTTTACAAAATGTATTGTCTCACCAATAACCTGCCTTACAATGTTTGTTTGTAATTCCAACTTCTGCTTTTAACAGCATTTGTGAAAAAATAAAAAAGCCAAGGAAAGAAAGGCTCGGAAATACAGATCTTGACAGGCAGAAAGTTGCTCAGATAAAGGGCTCTCATTCCCTTTCTCAAACTAATTTGTGCAGTGTCTGCTTGAGAGTTTGATTTGATTCGTTTTGCTTTGTGATGATGAAGGTTGCATTGGGGAATCAAAACTTTCAGATTTCTTTAATCATTGCAGTGATGAGAGAAAAGTCTTCATGTACCTACTCAGCTTTCCTTAGCCAATTACATCTCCCTTTCAACAGGCTAGCTGGGTCATTTCTAAAACTGTTTGCTAAACTAATTTAAAAAATCCTACATGAACTGTCTAGCATTTGATCAGTGAAATAACAGATTGAAGAAGGTATTAAAAGTAATGTCAGAGAAAAAGGGATAACTATTTTACCCAGCCAAAGAACAGAGGTGTTTAGAAAAGTCTTTAAAACAGATTTGCTCTCAAACATTCCTGCTTAATATATATTTAGAATATAACCCATCATTAAAAGATGCTTCATTGATGCTTTTCAGAAAAAAATGAATTTATACTAATCATAGAGGACAGTGGATTTGTCTTTCTAAAATAATTTCTTGATATGGAACGGAAGGTGGACTCATTATATGCTTTAGCATGCAATAATAATCAATATCAGTGCAATCTCTGAATGAGAAAAGATTCTGAGCTTAAGGTAGGTGGAGGGAATTGGTACTCAAAGTCTTCTTACTTTAACATTCTTATTTGATTGGCATTAGCACTGCTGCCCTCTAGCTTTCCATCCTAGTCCTTCACTTGACCAAGAATTAAGCCAGCAGAAGTCACAAATGAGGTTTTGGGGTTGGAGAAAATATTGACGTGGGGAAGTGAATTGTCTTCCTTGGAAGCTTCCTTGGGCATCCCCCAGACCCAGAAGCTCCTGTCTGAAGAATCAAAGGTGCTGTCTGGAGACTCCAAACCAGAATAGAAATCCTACCACAATCACATCCTTTGGATACCATTTTTGTTCCTTTTGAGCTTTGCCTGGTAGTCACAACTGAAATATCATATTCTGCCTCTCCACAATTCATCAGGTAACTGGACGCACAGCTTTCTTCCACAACTTCAAGGTGACTTACATCATTCCTTATTTTTATCCTCCAGACGAGATGAGAAAAAGGATCTGGGCCAAATTCACCCATCGAATTTCTGTGGCTGAAAAATGGACTTCAACTTGGATCCCCTCAAGTCAAGGACCAACACCTTAATCATAATACCAGGTGGATTCTGGTTGCGGAGCATAACAATAAAGTTATTATATGAGCAGCTTCTGATTGTTCTTATGTTTGGTTGAGGTTTCTAAAAACTGACGTTAATGCTCTTAACTGTGCAGTTTCTCTTTATATTGTCAACCAGCAGTTCTTCAAATTAGGAACCTAATCACTTACCTCTTGATCCTCACTGTCAATCAATTCTGTTATTGTTTGAGAGGAAAGTCGGTTCATAAAATCTATAAGTTCCCTTGGAGACAAAACTAGCTTGTATTGTGTTGAAACAAGGATGGAGACAGAAACAGCCATGTTACTCAAAGCAATGTGATAACAAGGCCATATTTGTAGTAGATGGCACCATAATTGGCTTATTGAATATGACTTGAGTGGCTGTTAACAATTATTGGAAACATATTTAATTGATCTATTATTTCTAATTGTAATTTCATTCTGTTCCATCTTCTTTCTTTCAGAGCCATGGCTACAATACAAATATTGTACAAATCAGAGCTAACACAAGACATTACACAACTCTACAAACCTTCATTGTGTAATCTGAAACATATAATCCAAGATTTCTTTTCCCAGGTGTCCATTTGTTGCAGAGAAGAGCAACAAAGATTAGGGGGCTGGAGGCTAAAACATATGAAGAACGGTTGCAAGAACTGGGTATGTCTAATCTAGCAAAAAGAAGGACTAGGGGGGATATGATAGCCGTATTCCGATATCTCAGGGGCTGCCACAAAAAAGAGGGGGTCATCCTATTCTCCAAAGGACCTGAAGGCAGGAGAAGAATCAATGGATGGAAACTAATCAAGGAGAGAAGCAACCTGGAATTAAGAAGAAACTTCCTAACAGTGAGAACAATTAACCAGTGGAACGTCTTGCCTCCAGAAATCATGGCTGCTCCATCATTGGGGGCTTTTCGGAAGAGAGTGGCCAACCATTTGCCGCAAATGATATAGGGTCTCCTGTGCAAGCAGGGGGTTAGACTAGAAGACCTCGAAGGTCCCTTCCAACTCTGTTATTCTGATCATTTAGCGCAGGGGGTCTTCAAACTTAGCAACTTTAAGACTTGTGGACTTCAATTCTGGGAGTTGAAGTCCACAAGTGTTAAAGTTGCCAAGTTTGGAGACCCCTGATTTAGCTTCTTCGTGACCAGCTCCGGCGTGCTGAAGAGAGTGCAGTCACAGGGATCTCACGGCGCTTGCTGGAGACTTGATGAAAGAGTAAAGGAAATTATTCCTGCATGGCCCAGTCTTAGCAATTGACCAAACTATTTTTTATTATCCCACTGAAAGTTGAAGGGCAAAAGTAAAGTGAAGGAAACGTGACCCATGGCTGGGCTCGAGTGCAGGAGTCACTGAGGTGGCAGCACAAAGTCTCCCACTATAACCCTAATCCCATGTGCCTGATCCATGGTTTTCGGAGCGGCACTGGAAAGGGAGTTTCCTCTAACTCTGAGGTTACCTCTGAATTGCTTCACTGGTGGCACCCCAAATGATGGCAGCTCCCAAAAGAAATTCCATATTTCATCTACCCCTAAAATTGAAGGGTCATCTCAGGTCTAGGAGCTACCAGCAAAGACCTGTCCCATTCTGCATTGCAGAAATTTCAAATGATTCATATCATTTCACAATCTCTGGGATTTGGGGATATTTAAGTACTCTTTCACTATAGTGGTAACAGATGTTCAATGATATATTTAATTTTTAGGTTTAACGAAATAACATAGATCATTGGTTATTTTCAGTAAAAGATAATTCCTGAAGGAAGCCTCAGTGTACAATGGTTCTGGAGAATTTATTTCAGCCTTTGAGCTACTGATCTAAAATGGGAAATTAGTGTGAGAGTGTTTGAACAAGTCTAATAGGATTTCTAGTTTGCCAAAAAAATAATGCTTTCAGAAGCACAATCTTTGGTGTAATCTCTCTCTCACACAACAAGACAGATGGCATCATTAATTGCCTCTATATCTAATTAAGTTGGGGGGGGGGGGAAACTCGGCTTAAGTAATGCTAAAGTTGTGGCACAAACTGGGAAAACATAGGAAATTGCAAGGTAGAACCCCTGGGAGAAAGAAAAATGGGCGGGCGTGGATCATGAAAGGGTGGAAGGAAATTTATGCACTGTAAGCAAAAGGGCCAAGGCTTCGCTCCAAAGCCCTTCAGGGGAAGAAATGACACAGACGAGAGAAAAAGACCAAAGTGCCATTTAGCTGGGCACCTTGGAAACACGAAGTTAAATGTAACACAACTGGACCTCGGCCAAAATTAAAAAGGAAGGTTTTGCTCCCAAATACAAATGAAACCTTGCTTCGTTTTATTCTCAAATATTTTCACTTCCCCCAAAAAATAAGTAATAATTTGGCTAGACGCAGAGGAGATTCTGTGACTTGTACACGTGGGTCATTCACAGAATCACAGGGCTGGAAGGGACCTTGGAGGTCTTCTAGTCCAATCTCCTGCCTGAGGCAGAAAACCTAATACCAACCTGAAAAATGGATGTCTAGCTCAGTAGTGGGTTTCAAGTTTTTTTAGAACCCCTTCTGTAGGTGTGGCTTGCTTTGTGGGAGTGACTTGATGGCCATGTGACTGGGTGGGAGTGGCCTGGCAGCCATGTGACCAGATGGGAGTGGCTTGGCAGCCATGTGACTGGGTGGGCATGGTCAACTTGTAAAATGTGGTGAAACTCACTTAACAACACTCTTCCTTAGCAACCAAAATCTTGGCTCAGAAATTCTGGCATTTGAAGCACACAAACCTTAAAGCTGTCAAGTTACAAGACCCTTGAACCCCTAACCCTTTAGAAAAAAAACCCAGGGGTGTTCAAACTTGACAGCTTTAAGACTTGTGGACTTCAACTCCCAGAATTCCTCCTCCAGTCATGTTGGTTCAGGAACTCTGGCATTGAAGTGTGCAAGTCTTAAAGCTGTCAAGTTACAAGACCCTTGCACCCCTAACCCTTTAGAAAAAAAAAAAACCCCAGGGATGTTCAAACTTGACAGTTTTAAGACTTTAAGGTTTGGATAGGATTCTTAGAGGTGGGTGTGGCAATTGGTGAGCCAGCCAATCAGTGAGTGGTGGGCAGGGCAAGCGTGTTACGGACAGGGGGGGGGGGAGGGAGCTGGAACCGGTTCTAAATGGCATGGTAGATTTATGGAACCTCTTCTATAGAAGAACTTAGAACTGGCAGGAACCCACCCCTGGTCTAGCCTTTTCTTGAAAACCTCTGTTCCCTTGGGTTGATTTATTCTGCTGGTTTAAAACACAAATATTTCACCCGGAATCTACCGATCATTTTTAAATGCTTTCCCCTTGATGTTAAGGAACAGGAAACGGTTAAATGACAAATGTAGATTTTGCAGTCACCCCTGCAGCAATGTAAACAAAGTAGAAAAAGCCCCTAAACCGACAGGCTAAAAGGAATGAGCATTTATTCCAGATTTTCCAGAGCACATATTTCTGAGGATCCAGGGTTAATTAGGGTGCAGGACTAATGAAAGAAAACACTTTGCTGCACACACACACCCTCCAACCCCAGGAATTCAGTGATTCTGCAGTGCTGGCAAGAGTGCCAAAGGAACTGAAGCTTTACCTTTATGGCTCACCTGCTGCGCCAAGGACTGCGGGTGGATGAAAGTCACAAAGTCGATAGAAAAGTATCCCACCACGCCCCTGGATTTGCAGGCCTCCCCGATTTTAAAACACAGCTGATGAAGGAGCTTGGGTTCAACGGAAGCCTGAGGAAGGGTCGTCCCTGAAGACTGCAAGGGACTGTCGGCGTGAAACTGGTCCCCGCAGGAAACCATGGTGAGTTCCCCGGTCGGTTCAATCAGCATGTCCACGGTGAGGCTGGTGATGCTATCGGAAGGCGGGAAGGCTTCTATGACTCCACCTGGTAGGAGAAACGAGAGCACCATCATCAAGGCAACTTATTGCACACTCTGCAAAAGGAGCAAAAGGTTTACTTTTAAAACAATCGGCCTTATCACAAGCAGAGTTTCCAAAAGTAAATAACTTTAATCCCATCACTTATTGTAGAAGCTGCTCCTGGTTAAATGGGAAAATGGTTTCTGACTTTGCCTGGGCTTGTAAGGTGAAGTTTCTTTGGTGGCTGGGGTTATATTAGCAGGAGAATTAATTGGGTATAGGCTGTACAACAGTGAGACTGGGAAGAGAAACCCCACTCCTATTGCTATGGTTGAGTTGGTAGTCCTAGAAATCTAAATTTTAAATAAATAAATCTATTTCTTTGTGTAGGAAAACAGAAGGGCTTTTTATTTCCCCGGAATGGGGAAAAGTATTCTGTGTCAGGTTCCAAGCAATACACCCATAACGAACAGAACTCTGAGGCAGGTAGATTCCTCAAAGAATATCTTTAGCTTTTCACCCAAGGACTGACCACTCTGCCCATATTCTATCTTTCTCTTTCAGAGCAGAAGGCTGGGGAAGGAGCAAAGTGGGGAAACAGCATCCAATGGTGGTAGGTGGGTAGGTAGGTAAGTGACACTCTGTGTTGATAACCTAAGGCCCAAAATTCTGCTCGCTGAGTTGTAAGGAACTGTAAGCATTTTCTGACTCAATCTGAAAGTCATATTTACTGTTACACAGCCAATGTTGGAGGGTGGTAATTTTCTGTATACAAGAAGAATTGCCAGATCAAGAACATCAGAAAGGCAAGCTAGAACAAACTCACCTGGGACCTCCAGGGAGGGAAGAGGTATTTCTTGTATATACGTATCTGCATATATGTATGTGGTTATTGGTATATGTAGCTTCTATTTCTTAAACGTGATGACTGCAAAACTGCTTGAAAATGTCTCGTGTGGCTTCCAGAGGGCAGAGAAGGAGGAAATGAATAGAACTGAGGAAAGATGAGGGTTTGGTGCTCTTTATCGTTCCTGTTCCTCGCCAGTCCCAACTAGCCAAAATTTGTGAGTGAAGAAAGAAACATGAAACCCAAAGGAAACTTACATCCATTTCCACCATTGCCCCTCTGTGTTGTGATGTCCGTGGCCCTAGGCCTTGGGCATTTCCCCAGCACTATAATGGGACTTCCCCCACCCCACCCCAAGGCCACAAATACCACCAGAAACCCATGGAGAGCCTCTCCAAACAGTTTTGTGCCATTTACATCGCACGTTTTCTCATCCCAAAGCGGGACAGAAATTTTAACGATGCAGGTAACTTCAGAGAAGGGAGGGAGGCAGGAGTCTCAAAATCATTGATAAATGCCTCTCTCTTTCCATCCTGGGGGGGGGGGGGGGGCACGTCCTGCTGCCCAAAATCAGCGAGGTCGAAAATGGCTGCCTGTCTTTCATTCTTAAAAAAATTAAAAACTCTTAACGCAGGGAAAGGCAGAGGGTGGAAGTGTGGAGAAATATCCCAATGAATGAGGACAAAGTGCTGGCGATATAATTATCCCTGATAGCGCTTAGCAGGAATGGAGCAGTCTTATTTACCTTGGCTCACAAACGTTTGGAGGAATTTCCCCCATGTAGGAAATCGTTTCTCATTGACAGGCTGAGCGTGCTGTGCTAAAAGGCCCGGCAGCTCCTGGGAGAGCCTCACCAAAGCTGGTTCCTGCAGAAACAAATTAAATAGAACCACAAGCAATTTTACTGCAGAAATGAAAACGGCTTGTGGGGTGATTAAAAACCAGGCCTCCAACAGGCAGTGTGGTTACTGTTTAACCACAGCCAGGAAGCCTTTTTCAAAATGTTTCCCCTATCTTTTTTTCGTGTTTCTGGCAACTTTTGGGGGGTCCCAACCACCACCAGCAATCTCTTCCTTAAAAAAGAAAGAAGGGAATATATATATTTTAGCCCACAATTTAACAACAAAACAAATGGGGAATTAAGAGATTAAAACCATTGATATTTTTGTCTATTGGGAAGATCTATTTGTTTCTCTCTTGACTTGATTCAAAAGCTTTTCCCTACCCTCTCTTGTAGGATCACATGCAGAACCCACATTTGTGGAGTCTCCCCCAATTCTGCACTGCATATAGTTTTCATGTGCGCCCCCTCCCTCCCCTAACGCCCCAGGCCAAGATATCTGAAGACAGTTAGCGCTGGGGAGGCTACTTGTGATCTCAACTCTTGGCTTGGCTCTGATGCCATCTCCTCGGCTCTTGTCCTACCACCTCACAAGCCACCTCTGACTTACATTGTTTTGGTTGTTGGTCCCTCATTCAAAACTGCCCTCAATTAAATCAAAGACCACATAAGTAAAACTGGGGTCAGTTGGGCGCAGGACGTAATGGGATGATGAGACAAGAGGCAGGCCATGTAGGATGCTTCCCAAGAGTCTAAAAGGACCACAGATTTGCACACACACAAAAGGCAACAACCCAGGCCCAGGTCTTAACTTCATGGTTTCAATCAGGCCTACAGTCTGGAAGCTGAGCAAGCAAATCAAACTTGGGAACTTCTTCTCTCACTACTTCATGATGGCTTCCCTCTTTCCCTTGAGCCTTTTTCTTCTGCTTCATGACCCCTTGAAATTAGAAATGTCCCATGCTCCAAAGAGGACTAATTGCCCCTTCACACCACAATCTTAGGACTCCGTTCTTGCTCCTCCTGACTGGAACGGACGGGTGAAAGATCTCCCTCACGTCTTTCATCCTCCCGCTTGAAGAGGGGCTCTGTCTGTTTTTAAATGCTTTTTGTGTTGAGGATCTGTGCTTTGTCTACTGAGGAGGGCCTGTAAGGATATGACTTTTGTCTTTTTCTATTTATCCAAGGGCAGCTTCTGAATTTCAAATCCCAAAATGTATTTTTGGACTGTATGGAAACAGAACAGCTCCCTCTTCAGCATGTGGCTTGGTTAACTTATTTTGGACGTCTACTGCCTGTAGATCAGTGATGGGTTCCAGATCTTGTTGCAACTGGTACGGTGCAACGGGGCCCGGTGTCCATCACATGAATGCGTGCAGCACACACGCACACATGCATCCTTAACTCCTGCGACGCCTCCATGACGCTCCAACTGCTCGGTGGCGCATCATGCAGGTGCTATACACTGCGTGCGTGGAAGCACCAAAGAGCTCAAATACAGGTAAGGACGGCGGGCGGGCAGGCCTCCAAAGCACCATACCGGAACGGTACCCGCAACCCACCACTGCTGTAGATAGAGTCCCCTGAACACAGCTGAATCTTTTTGAATATTTGAATAAAAGTGCAAGAGGTTGGTTGTCAGAGATTATATGCCTACCTTGAATCAAGCAGAAAGCAGGAATTATACTGCATACGGTTCAACAAACCTCAACCAGAAGTTTTTGCAAAGGGAAACTCTATCTCAAGGGCTTATTATTAGTCGTTAAAAAGAATTAGCTTATCTGCTGGGAGTTTGGCATCATGTTATTATTATGGTTCATCACTCAGACAGCCAGTTGTTTGAACTGGATTTGGCATTTTTGTCCATCTATCAAGTCCTTCCTAAGGACCTGGGATAGGTAGATGTTGGCATTGGATGGTCTTAAAGGTATTGTGGCAAGATGTAAGCTACTCCAAGCCAAGCTGCCTTTTGCAATTGACTGATGGGGATTTTGTCAATGTCAGTATTATCATTATCCGTAATAATAATCCAGTGAGCACAGTGGTTATTGACACACAGGGTGCCCTATCAAAAACTCTTGAATGACTCTTATGAAATCTGTAGATTGACAACATTTCCATACACCAATATATCACAACATCCTAGGTTCTTGGGAGGAACTCAGTGAGAATGAAGGCCAATACCAGCTAATGAACTGGCCACTGTGATTTCACATTATTGACATGATGATGATGATGATCGTCATCATCATCATCTGGTTATTCAGGATTCCTAGATTTTCAGAAAACCCTTGGACAATTTATGCCTCTTAGGAAGAAGTGAGAGGCCATGCATAAAGGAAGCCTGTTTGAGCTGTAGGGTCACTTGATATTAAGAGTGGCAACCATGAATGGTGAACCTTCTCCAGCCTGTGACTTTTTCCTACAGTTGGCAGAGAAAAAATGTGCAGAGCTACGCGGAGGAGGAATGCCTTAATAGGCTATAGATTGCAATGCCGTGCAATAGCACTCCACCAGCTGAAAAGGACCATATAGACAAGAGAGGGAAGAATGAATGACTTGTGGTTTCTTTCATGTATAACTAATTTGGAAACTAGTGAGAATTAATGATTTCCCATAAGGAGTGCAGGGAGGGAAGGGAAGACTGCAGGGTCCACAAAAATGCGCTTTTCATTGATTAACACTAGTCAGATGTTCTGCCTGCAAATCAATATGTACCATTAAGTTCCTTTGGTCTTATTGTCATCGAATTAGGAAAGGCCATTCCATCCAGTTTTCCTGGGTTAGACCCCAGATATTTATTCCAGGAAATTTAATATCTGAGATGTTTATTTCCAATCCAAAAATAAACCAAAACCACCAAATCTTTCATATCATGACTGTTTTTCTTTCCTTCCGTTTGCAATTAATTTGCAGAAGTGAATATAACATTAGCTCTTAGGAGGTTCATTTGTTTATGAAAGTAGCAAGGTAGTAAGAAGACTGCAAAGCTCGAGGATTTGGGTGTAGCCATGCCCTTCCCAGGTGCTTTTGACCATTTTAGAGGATTATAACAGATTATAACAGAATAATAGAATTGGAAGGGACCTTGAAGGTCTCCTAGTCCAGTGGTCTCCAACCTTGGCAACTTTAAGACTTGTGGACTTCAACTCCCAGAGTTCCCAGAACTCTGGGAGTTGAAGTCCACAGGTCTTAAAGTTGCCAAGGTTGGAGACCACTGTTCTAGTCCAACCACCTGCTCAACCAGGAAACCTTATACCATCCCGGACAAATGACTGGCAAGAAAATAGGGGCAGTAAGGAATAGCACAGGTTATGTAGACAGTAAACACAGGGTCAATCAAAATGTCTATACACCAATGCACAGAGTATGAGAAATAAACAGGGTGAATTAGAAATTCAAGTAAAAGAGAAACAAATAGATCTTCCCAATAGACAAAAATATCAATGGTTTTAATCTC